AATTGTGATAAAAAAATCACGGGTGAAACGCCACTAATCAATCCACTACTGAAGAAAGAAAGATTACAAAGATAACAAAAAAATTACCAACTCATCCAATTTGTCTTTAAACCCTCTGTAACTTTTTCACCAAGCCTTCATCTCGGGACTTATTAATCTGGAGTTGAATCCACAATTTCACTTGTCGAATCGACGACTACGTACAAAATCAAGCTCCTTTGAAACAAACTCCTTGATGTATGTATTTTTGATCATAGGTTACAAACCCTCTCAAGTATATCAAGGAAAACTCAACCAAAACCTCAGATGAAAACCTCAAACAAAACCTTAAGATCCTTAAACAAGATTTAGGAAAACTAAACCTAGAAATGACCCAACACGCAAATATATAGTATCTGAGATCACGAGGTCCGCTCGAGCGTGGGAATTCCCGCTCGAGCGGAGACTGCATATTCCATGATTCATATAAGGTCCACGCTCGAGCGGAAGTTTCCACGCTCGAGCATTGAATCATACCATCCAGTATATTTGCAGGCTTGACAGAGATGCTGTGAGTGAGCAAACCTCGCTCGAGCGTCACTTTCCCCGCTCGAGCGGGAAAACCAAAACTAGAAAAAAATTGGAAAATTGAAACAAGTTACAACCTTGGTTTTGATCCATGGAATTTGACAACAAAGGGTCCTAACATATAGAATGGCTATTAGACCAACGATGTTGTATGAGACAGAATATTAGACAACAAACAAACAACATATAGAAAAGATGAGTGTTGCTGAAACGCAAATGATAGGGTGGATATGTGGCAAGACTAGAAAAGATAACATTAGAAATGAGTATATTTGAGAATGGGTAGGAGTAGTACTGATAGAAGATAAGTTGAGAGAGAATAGATTGAAATGGTTCAGTCATACACAACGGAGGCCAACAGAGAAAGTAGTGAAGAGATACAATACACTAACAGTAGATGATAGTGTTAGGGGAAGGGGTAAACCTAAATTGAGATGGACTAATGTAGTAAATAGAGATAATCTCCTTAATTTGACTAACGAAATTGCCTTAGATAGAGTTTAGTGGAGACACTACAAAAAAATTAAGGTTGTAGAGACCAAAATTTAGGGACAAAATTATTTTTTAGGGACCAAATAATTTTGTTGTGAAAAGTGTCGTTATTGTATTTTTAGTAACAAAAATTGGACATTAGTGATGAATTATTATCCTTTTGGAACCAAATTTTTTGTATCAAAAAAAAAAAAAAAAAACCATTTTGGGACCAAATTGTTTTGTCCTTAAAAGTTTATTTATTAGTGACATTTTCAAAATTTTGTCGCTAAAAATCTTATTTTTGATTTTTCGAGACGTCCTTTTAGTGACTATCCTCATGACGATAGAAATTGGTCCTAAATGTCTTTTGCAACAGAATTTTCACTTTTAGAGACCAAAACATTTGGTCTCTAAAACTCTTATATGTTGTAATGAGAAGAAAGATTCATACAGTCGATCACATTTGATGGGACTTAAGGCTTAGTTTGGTTTGGTTTGGTTTATAGCTAAGAGTAGGTTATGTTTCTTACAATTTAAGATTATATATAGGGATGGCCATGAGACAGGTTTGGGATGGGTTTACCATTCCTCGCCTCTGCCTCCGCCGACAAACTGCACCCCCGTTGCGGGTGAAATTTTTCAACCCCACCCTCGCCCCCGCGGACACCCGATACCTACGGATATTCGACTACATTTCAAATAGTCAAAAAAAAAAATTAAGAACCATTTAAATTCTTAGCACACTAAATAATTTTTTTATTATCTATAAACATTGAGATATTTAATATTATTATTTATTTATATTTAAACAAAATCATAAATTTTTAATATTATTTTCTTATATATAATTATATTTTATATATATACATATATTATTACATATATTATTTATTTATATATTATTAATTATATCTAGTCGAGTTTGGGTCGGGGGAAACGATACCTGCCCTCGCCTTACCCCTGTTGTGGATGACCAAAACATAATCCACTCCTGCCCTACATAAGTGTCCCCACATTAGTGTCGAGCGGTTAAAATCTGTCCCATTAGGGCTAAAAAATCTAAAAATCCCAAATATATTGATTTGTGATTATATATTCAATTCTAACCAGTAAATAGCAATCTCAATCAAACAATCACAAATAAATCGACACTATGATTTTATGTGGAAAAATCACAATTTGAGCACCTCTAATTGCAATAAAAAAACTATGGGCAAAAACCACAAAACAATCTACTAAGAAGACATAAAAAGAATTACACAAATGCACTTTCAATGACCTAACGAATCTACGCCCGAATCGAACCGACCCCTATGTCCCTCTTCCAGCCCCGTCTTCACGTCAGAATTGTCTTGTCCAATGTTAAATCCACAACGCCAATGTCGAATCACGACGATAAGCCACTCCAGAATCCACCAAAGCTTTAGGCTCGAATTCTACGGAATCCACTAAAGAACAACTCTCTCTAGCGTATTGAATGAAGCAAACAATCATTTGATGTATACTTCTCCAACCATGAGATAAACTCAAACAAACGTCAAAGAAACTAGCAAAGAAGCTCCAGATGAAAACCCCAATACCCAAGAAGAAGATCTGGAAGTTGTTCCCTAGAAAACGAATTAATCGCATATTTATAGAAAAAAGAATCGTGATCTCCGCTTGAGGGCAGGATGGTCGTTCATGCGGACTGACTAAAACGCGTGTTTCAAAACATAGATCTACGCTCGAGCTCAAAAACACAACTCCTAATACTTTTGTAGACAGTTCAAACTTCTGGAATCAAAGATTCTTCGCTCGAGCGCACAAATGGCCGCCCGAGCGGAAAAGCAACTTCTATTGCATTTTTGCTTTTTGCTTCGGGGGTCCTGTCCCCCGACCCCACCATGGTGCTGCCCTGGACCAGCTAAGGGACACTACTTCCTGGACCCCCGCGAGTTGACTAGGCAGCTCAATCTCCGGCATAGTCAGCAAAGTGGCAAACATGATAGGATTAAGATCACAAATTCATCTATATAGGTACAATTCGGGTTGGATTCGCATATAAATACTCACAGCCTCACTGAAATAAAAGAACGAATAAAATTACAATTGAAAGGAGTTTTGTCAAATGAGATTGCCAATAACAAAAACCTAACAAGGGCAGATATGGACAGGCACTAGCGGATCAGATTTAAATAGTCATCCCTAATTATATATCCGTATAAACAAGTCCTTTTCTTGGTTTAGCTAATTATATATATGGTTTACAAGTTTAGATGGTCTAAACAACACAAAACAAGAGTGAAATGGCATCAAATCCTTCAAAGAATTCCCAACCAATTCATGGTGTTAGGAAACCCTAGTAGCAGCACTAGTAGTATAGTATTAATGTGAAAGAGACAAGAGATTCAACACCACCAAA